ATTCCTCATCTACAGTAGCTGTGGCTTGAACCGGAGTTTGTCTTGGTGGAGCTTGATTACCAAGATGATCCAATAGAAACCGCAGGCTTGTGGCAAGGTCAGATGGTGAACTAGACAGATCTTTCAAGCTCTCCCAATCTTTCTTGACATAGTATCCTTGCTCCTCAAGGAATTTGACTTCTCTAGAGACATAGGTTCGGTTGTTGATAGGGTCATAGCACTTGTATCCCTTTTGAGTTGTGGAGTATCCAAGGAACATACACTTGATACTTTTGGCATCTAGCTTGCTTCTCTGCTCACCTGGAATCAACACAAAGCACACACACCCGAAAACACGTAAATGCTCAAGAGAGGGTTTAGATTTGTTTAATACCTCAAACGGAGACATGTCTTGTAAGACTCTCGTAGGGATTCTGTTAATGAGGTAACAGGCTGCAAGGACCGCATCTCCCCAAAATCTCTTAGGCACATTTGCATGAAATAGCATAGACCTGGCCACCTCCATCAAGTGTCGATTTTTCCTTTCAGCCACACCATTTTGTTGTGGGGTATATGGACAGCTAGTTTGATGTAGGATCCCATGCTTAGATAAATGCTCCTTGAATTTTTGGCTTGTGTACTCCCCACCATTATCTGATCTAAACACTTTAATCTTGGCATTAAATTGGTTAGTTACATAGTTCTGAAAGTTTGTGAAAGCCTCAAATACTCTATCTTTTGAAGGAAGAAGAGTGACCCATGTATATTTCGATTTTTCATCTATGAAAGTCACAAAATATTTGTTACTATCCCTAGACATACATGGTGAGGTCCAAACATCAGAATGCACAAGATCAAAGCAATTTTCATAAATAGTAGATGATTTAGGAAATACTATTCTGCAATGTTTGCCGAGAATACAAGACTCACAACTAGAGTGATCAAAAAAAATATCAGGCAGCATTAATTCAAGAGCACGTGAATGTGGGTGGCCTAATCTAGCATGCCATACAGCACTAGTTAAATAACAAGACTTAAAAGAGACATCAGCGTCAGGTTTATTTGGTGAAACATCTTCAAGAACATAAAGATCATCCCTGGTTCCACCTTTCCCAAGTAACTTCCCACTCTCAATATCCTGAAAATGAACATCATTAGGACCAAAAATCGCATAACAATTTAAGTCTTTAGTTGCTCTTTTCACTGATACTAGATTAGAGGTGAATTTTGGGACATAGAAAGCTTCGCTAGTCTTGTTAAACAGATTCAGTTTACCAATTCCCTCTATTGGGATTCCATCACCATTAGCTATTATCACTTTACCTAGGGCAAGTTCTATACTGTTCAAGAGTTTAGAATTATTTATCATGTGATGAGAAGCTCCTGAATCAACAACTAGACCGCTACTAGGTTTATGTGAGTAAAAAGTGATACCGGATTGTTTAGAGGCAAAAGCTTTGATGAGGGCCTCCAAGTCGCTCTTCCTCACATACTCCTCTGAAGCGCTCATAGCCACTTCTCCCCCTGAGTTGCTTCCTGCTGCTGGTTCATGAGCGAGGTTTGCCCTGGCGTCCTTGAACTTGTTGGGCTTAAAATGGGGATGGAGGATCCAGCATTTTTCCTTTGAGTGGCCCTTCTTCTTGCAATGGTCGCAGACCCAAGTCTTCCTCTCTTCCGGTTTGAAAACTCCTTTGTTAGCTGAGATGAGTTCTCCTTTCTTGAATAGACCTATGGAGCCCTGCTCCTTTTGGATTCTGGCGCACACGTCTTCAAGGCTTGGAAGCTTGTCATCTCTTAAGATGTGCTTGATAAGGTCATTGAAGACTGGATTCAGTGTGAGAAGGAGACCGAACACCTTGTCCTGCTCTCGCCTTTCATTGAGAATCTTGGGATCTAGAGTACTCGGTCGCAACATCTCTAGTTCAGCCCACAAGGATCTGAACTTTCCAAAATGAGTCTTGAAATCCATATCTTCTTGACTCAGGTCATTAATAGCCTTCTTTACTTCAAAGACCCTGCTCAGATTTGTATCATTTCCGAATACGTTCTTGAGAGTTTCCCAAAGAGACTTTGCTGTCTCACAGTAGGAGTAAGCTTCAAGAATTGCCGGTTCAAGAGAGTTCTGAATAAGACCAAGAACAGTTTGGTCTTCTTGAAACCACTTAGCTTCTTCAGCCTTGGCCTCTTCACTCTTTGTCTCGCCTTTGGTGTCTTCATCTTCTTCTGGTGTTTTGTCCTCCAAAACATGGCTCCAGAGACCGCGACCACACAAAGCTGTTTTTGTGGTTCTTGCCCACAACAGATAGTTTCCTCCTCTGAGAATAACTGGAATAACAATCGCTTTCGAGTTTTCAGTAGCAAGAATGCTTGAACTTGAACTCATCTTTGTTGTTCAAGAACAGAAAAGAATGCGGAGAAGAGAGAGAAACAAAATAAAACTTGAGAACCGAAAGATTGTCGAGATTTGAGAATGAGAGGATTTAACGAGTATTTTAGAGAGATTTAGAGATTAAATGAGAAGAGATTCATGTTAAAATGCTCAGGACATGAGCTCTGATACCATGTTGGAATTTATTTAAGCGGAATAAAGAGAATTGTTAAGAGAGAAATGATGAACAATGAAGAACAAGAGAGAATAAGTCTCCAAAAGTGTATATTATTCATATGGCGGCTACATTACATTTATAGAGAGACAAGATGAGTCCTAGGTCTAGGTTTTACAAAGAAGAGACAAACAGGTGGTTACATTCTCTATAATCACGTGCAGGAATAAGGCTAAGGCTTCGCTGATCCCGGAGATGATCGTGACAGCTTCCAACGGTCATCTTGACCTTAAATCGACCCGTGACTCTTGAGAGGACCACCGTACGGACGAGCTCTCTTCTAGGCCGAGACTTGGAGACTCTTCTTGGGCCTCTCAACATATTCAGGCCTCTAATATTATTCTGGCCTTGTAGAAACCCACAAAGGCCTAAACCTGATCAATAGATTTGAGGTGTATCTTAAGGAATAAGAAACAAGTAAATGATATTCTCATTTTCAAAGGAGAGTTTTGGTTTAGCTAAAGGAATAAGAAAACTAGTAAATGATGCGTCTCCTTCAACATTTAGGAGTCTCTACTTCTTATTTGTATGCTTAGAACTCACACTTGTCAATATAGTGCCATTTTGGATCAGAATATGACTTCTCTCAGAAAGAGTCCCAGTTTTCTGATTTTCAAAGGAGAGTTTTGGTGTAGATAAAGGAATAAGAAAACAAGTAAATGATGCGTCTCCTTCGACATTTAGGAGTCTATACTTCTTATTTGTATGCTCAGAACTCACTCTTGTCAATATAGTGCCATTTTGGATCAGAATATGAGTTTACTTAAAAAGAGTCCCAGTTTTCTTATTTTCAAAGGAAAGTTTTGGTGTAGGTAAAGGAATAACAAAACAAGTAAATGCTGCGTCTCCCTCGACATTTAGGAGTCTCTACTTCTTGATTGTATGCTCAGAACTCACTCTTGTCAATATAGTGCCATTTTGGATCAGAATATGACTTCTCTCAGAAAGAGTCCCAGTTTTCTGATTTTCAAAGGAGAGTTTTGGTGTAGCTAAAGGAATAACAAAACAAGTAAATGATGCGTCTCCTTCAACATTTAGGAGTCTCTACTTCTTATTTGTATGCTCAGAACTCACTCTTGTAAATATAGTGCCATTTTGGATCAGAATATGACTTCACTCAGAAAGAATCCCAGTTTTCTGATTTTCAAAGGAGAGTTTTGGTTTAGCTAAAGGAATAAGAAAACTAGTAAATGATGCGTCTCCTTCAACATTTAGGAGTCTCTACTTCTTATTTGTATGCTCAGAACTCACTCTTGTCAATATAGTGATAGAATGTATAGATTAGCAGCGGATAATAGAAGATTAAGAGATTAAGAGAGATTGTATGAGAGATTATTGAAGAACACGATGAAGAGAGAATAGAGAGAGAGAATGGTGAGAAAGAGATATCTTCTCATTTCTTAGAAAAACAATTACAGAGAGTATACAGCTATATAAAGTAAAAGAGCAACAAGAATATTCTCTAGATTCCTAAGCTATAGTCCAAAAGAGGAAAAAGCAAAAGTAAAAGGTAAAGCTACTTTTCTCCTTCTCTCCAACGGTCACAAGGAGATCATATCCAGCCTGGCTCCTTCCTCTCTTATCTTTAAACGTTAACAAGAGAATGAACATAAGAGAAGAAGGCTCCCCTAGATAACTTGATGAAGAAGCAACCCAAATGATGACCTTGTACGGATATGTACGGATGTGTACGGTCATACATGAGAAGATCAGCTGATGTTTAGATGATAATGATCTCTCTTGATTAACACTCCCCCTCAAGCTAAGCCTTAAAGAATCTGAAGGCTTAGATTGGAAGTTAGGAGACTCACCTCATTAAAAAACCTAAGTATGGAAAACCCAATGGGACAAAACCATACTTAGGGAAAAAGAGTGTGAGCTCTTTCACTTAGGGGATTCAGAGACTTGGAGACTCATAAGCCCCAATCTCTCACTGATGAACTCCAAGGTCTTCAAGCTTGTTGCCTTGGTAAAAATATCAGCCAACTGATCAGAGCTTCTTGTGTAACACGGTAAAACGACTCCAAGCTCTATCTGTTCCCTTACTTTGTGGCAATCCACCTCAATGTGTTTAGTCCTTTCATGGAACACCTGGTTTGATGCAATGTGAATAGCAGACTGGTTATCACAATGCATAGTGATCGGCTTTGAGAACTCTATTCCAAGATCTGAGAGAAGCATCTTCAGCCACATCAACTCGGTTGTAAGTCTTCTCATAGCTCTATACTCGGCTTCTGCACTTGAACAAGACACAACCTTCTGCTTCTTGCTCTTCCAAGTTACCAAGTTCCCTCCTATGAAAGTACAATAGCCGGTTGTTGATCTTCTATCAGTTCTGTCACCAGCCCAATCAGCATCACAATATCCAACTATTTCTGAGCTTCCATTGCACCCCATCCATATCCCTTGCTCCAAGGTTCCTTTGAGATATCTCAGAATGCGATTCACCATGTTCCAATGATATGTACTTGGGGCTTGCATATGTTGGCTCACCTGATTCACAGCAAAACACAAGTCAGGTCTAGTTATTGTGAGGTATATAAGCTTACCAACTGTTCTTCTGTATAGCTTGGGATCATCAAAGATGAGAGAATGTAAGATTAACAGCGGATTAAAGAGAGGATTAAGAGATTTAGAGAGATTGTATTGAAAGATTAGTGAAGAACACGATGAAGACTAGAGAGAGTAGTGAGAAAGAGATTCATTCTCATTTCATAAGAGCTATTACAGCTGTATACAGGTATATAAAGTAAAAACAGAAAGAATATGCTAAATAGATACCTAAGCTATTCTCCAAATCAGGGAAAAGCAAAAGAGAAAAAGCAAAAGCACTTTTTGTCTTATATGTACAACGGTCATATAGATAAGGGAGGCACCTCTTCTTCTTTAGAGATTCAAACGGTCATAAAGAGAGAAGCTTAGAGGGAAAGACATCTCTTTGCTTGATGCAGAAGTAACCTAAGGTCTTCAAGATGATCTTGTACGGATTGTACGGTCAAGATGGAGAAGAAAGATCGACCTTGATTAACAGGGCCTTCTA